TGTATATAGGACTAGATGCATAAAATTGTATTCTTCCTGGAACACAATCTGCTTGCTTTACCCATGGAAAAAAATTGTTCTTGGATATTTAGTGCTGAAGAAGAATACCTTTAGTTTCAGAGAGTTTGGAAATATAACATTTTGGACTATAGCTCCCAGAAGCCTCTGGAGAATTTTGAGAGTTAGTCCAAAAAATGTTAAGATTTCTGAACTCAGGCTCTTGAAGATGGACATGGACATTCACATTGACTATATTTATACTGCCTGCGGATGAAGCATTAGCTGATCGCTCCCCCAAAATGGCAAACAACCCCATTTCTGGGAAACCGACACAGAGGCTTACTTTGGCAGGAGAGTAAGTAAATCCATCTTTGAAGTACAAATGATTCCCAGCATTCATTCATTATGAACATAAAATCACTGTCAACATTCCCTCCTCTTCCAGTTTAACAGCCAATGGAAGGGAAACTGAACAGTTATGTTACATCTGTAGGGCTTTAACTGCAGCAGCACAGTTGCCTTAAGTCTCCTACTCATTTATCACTTCCAGATTGTACATGCCATTGATCTTCGCTGCAGGGTTCAGACAGAGCCAACGTCAGGTTTCTGTTTTAAGTGCAAATTAAAGAACAGGAGAGCCCAGCCTTCAATAACAACCAAAAACCTTTTTTTTAAAAAAAAAATTATAAACATGAAACCAGATGCATATGTCATAAGAAAGGCCTATTAGGGGGTCACTGAGTAGCACTAGATTAAAATTTGTAGGCCTCTCTTCCATTTCTGTTGCTCATTTATCTATAACAACGATGTAGCCACACTATACAGTTATACAAGTCTGACACAACTTTAACCATCATGGCACTTTCCAGTGGAATCCTGGAATCTGTAGGCTGATAAGTGATTTAGGTCCAAAACACACTGCAGAAATAATCCAGTTTGAGACTGCTTTAACTGCTCTGGCTCAATGCTAGAGAATTCTGGGAACTGTAGTTTTGTGAGACATTTAGCCCTCTCTGTCAGCGAGCTCTGGTGGCACAATAAACTACAATTCCCAGGATTCCCTAGCATTAAGCCAGGGCAGTTAAAGTGGCCTCAAACTTATTTCTGCAGTGTGTTTTGTACTTTAGAATTGACCGTCTCATGTTAGCTACTCCATAAAACCACACTAGGGAATTCAAAGTCCCTCATCAAACTATAAATCCCAGGATTCTGGACAATGGAGTCATGGAAGTTAAAACAGCATTGAAATGCTATAACTGTACAGCATGGATGCACCCTAAATTAAGCCAAGACCATGTTAAAAGGGAGGGCTTCCCATCTCTGCCACTTCCTTTACCGATCTGATAGGAAAATGCATATTATCTGTAATCTGGATTAGCAATTGCAAGTATGAAGCTGATGTGCTGGTGGTAGCTGCACACTCCAGGTGAATTATCAGAGATCAAATGCAAAGCCCAAGTTATGGGTAATACCTCGATTAACAAAGTAGATGTGTTCCTTGGCATGACTTCTTTAACTGAAAATTTGGTACCAGAGGCAAAAATAAGATGGAACAAATAGGGATAGATTCCTACACCACAAAAATGAAAAGCAATTCGACACAGCTCTTTACTTTACTGTCTGTCAAATTTCAATAAACAGCTTTTTAAAGCGGGGGGGGGGGGAATACCTGAAAGCTCAGACTGCCCCATTTGGACTCTGTAGGCCAAAGATAAACTAGAGCATGTTTATTCAGCAGCAAGACTTGTTGAACTCAAGATTTACTCCTGAGATGTTCAGGACATGCAGCGATGCATCATTCCTCAAAAATGAAGTGGATTTGAAAATTCATTATCATGGCTGCATGGTGCTCCATGTTTTAAGATCATGGCATGGATCATGCATCAAGACTAAGGGTTTTATCATTTGATAACCCTCTCAGACATGTCAGGAGTGTGCATGCATAAAAGAAGACCCTGCCACAACTATTATTACTCATCTGAGGAAGCAGACTAAGGTCCAAAACACAAAACAAAAATAATCCAGTTTGAGACCACTTTAACTGCCCTGGCTCATTGCTAGGGAATCCTGGGAACTGTAGTTTATTGTGGCACCAGAGCTCTCTGACAGAGAAGGCTCAATGTCTCACAAAACTACACATCCCAGAATTCCCTAGCATTAAGCCAGGGCAGTTAAAGCAGTTTCAAACTGGATTATTTCTGCAGTGTGTTTTGGACCTATGAAAATTTATGCTACTTAGGTTAGAAGTGAAATAAAAATAAGTTAGCATTTTTTCAGAGTGTGCGTTAATATCCTTAGGCTTGGGAAGTGGGAAGTCAAGTTTAATTTGTAAAGTTTCTGTTGAGTTTATGCTGATTATTAATAGATATTAGTTTTATGAGGGAGAAAGTTGGAGAGACTGCAGGGTGAGGTAGTTTATTTATTTATTTATTTTTATGTCCAGTGTGGCATAGTGGTTTGACTCTGGAAACCAGGGTTTGATTCCCTGGCTTGATCATGAAACTCAATGGTTGGCCTTGGGCAAGTCACACACTCTCAGCCTCAGGGGAAGGCAATGGCAAAATCTCCTCTGAACAAATCTTGCCTAGAAAACCCCATAACAGGGTCACATCAGGGTCACCATAAGCCAGAAATCACTTGAAAGCACACAAGGGTGTTTTTTGGTTTCCTATTCTGATTTTATGTGTGAGTGTTTGTATGATTTCTGTTTTAAAATTTAAAATCTTTCAATAAAGAAAGATTTTGGATGGGAGGGGGGAAGGAAGGAAGGAAGGAAGGAAGGAAGGAAGGAAGGAAGAAAGAAAGAAAGAAAGAAAAAAAGAAAGAAAGAAAGAAAGAAAGAAAGCTTATGATACCATTTATGCTGCTCCTTTAGTCCAAGGTTAGACCATATTTGTCCTAACTACAAAGGAGGACAAGGCACCAGGAAATGTGGGACATTCAAGAAAAATGTAGGGCATTGCAGCTTCTAAAAGCTAATAAAAAGACTCCTATAAATGCATGTTTCTTGGTCCTGCTCAAAATGGAGAACATTTGGAAATTCCTCCTGGACAGAAGCTTGAAATGTAGGACATGCCCTGGAAAAGGAGGACGCCTTGTCACCCTGGGCTAGTCTCCAGTGTGCTATAAGATCCTTATATTACATATTGCATATTGATAGGACACAGTTCTCTGTCTCTGCAGTCTCTCCCAGGCTCTTCATTTTCTGCTTTGCAGGGGAAGCCCTTTCAAAAGCTGGGAGCCAATCGGGAGAGGGTGCGGCTCTACGTCAACAAAGGGAGGCGGGCCTTTCTTGGGGGATGACCTCATCGCCGGCATCTCCTGCCACGTGGATTCCAAACCTCTTTAAGAATCTCCTACACTGGAGAAATAATCCGGTTTGACCCCGATTTAACTGCCCATGGCTCAATACCAGGGAATTCTTGGAACTGTCGTTTTTCTGCGATATTTAACTTTTTTTTGTCAAGAGAACTCTTGTGTTGTGTTGGGATCCCAGCTCGGCCATCCATATACAACCATTGGGTGACCTTGAGCAAGTCACACTCTCACAGCCCTCAGAGGATGGCCAGAGCAGCTCCCCCCTCTGAAGAAGCGTGCCAAGAAAACTTCAAGTCACACTCTCTCAGCCTCAGGGGAAGACAAAGGCAACCCTCCTCTGAACAAGCCTTGCCAAGAAAACTCCAGGAAAGAAAGGGGTTGCCTTTGGGTCACCATAAGAAGGCCCACTAGTGCCACCAGTTGAGGTAGATAACAGTAAGCTAAGCGGTCTGGTTCAATAAGACTATACATGGGTATAGAAAGAGTGTAGATGTGATTAATAATATACGAGAGCCACTGTGGTATAATGATTTGTGCTATGATTATGACCCTGGAGACCAGGGTTCGAATCCTGGCCCGGCCATGTAAACCCCCGGGTGACCTTGGTCAAGTCACTCTCTCAGCCTCAGAGGATGGCAATGGCAAACTCCCCTCTGAAGAAACGTGCCAAGGAACCACCACAATAGGGTCGCCTTGACCTTGGGCAAGTCACACTGTCTCAGAAAGAGGGACTGGCAACCCCCTGTTGAAGAAATCGTCCCAATAAAACTCTGTGATAAGTTTGCCTTAGGGACGCCATAAGTCGGAGACAACTTGGAAGGCCCACAACAGCAGCAATTAACATGAAGAAAGAATCGCATAGAAGGAGAAGAGAGAAATATTTAAATTGTTTAAACATGGATCCCCTGAGACCCTCTGTCCGCTACACACACACACAAACACATGGGGTCCACAACAGGGCCCTGAATAGCACACTTTTACCATCTCCATAAACCCCAACCCAGCCCTGGAAGATGCCATCTGAGACGTGTGTCCTGAGAAGTAAGGCCCTCGGAGGTCTGGAGTCTTTTTTCCAGGTCCCAACATGCTCTTAAAGGAGAAATGGGGGACATCTTTATGCACAGTCTTTCCTTGGCTGCCCCTCCCATGAGGAAACTTTGCTGAACGGTCTTGGCCAAACCGCATCCAGAAGGAACCTCTTCTCCTCAACCAGACCCATCTCACAAACTGGACAAGAATACTGCAGCTCCTGGTTTACACCACAACCTCTTTTTCCACAGGATGTGATATTCAGCAATTGTCAAGTCATTTCTGACTTTCGCCAATCCTATCAAGAGGCTTTCTTGGCACGTTTCTTCAGAAAGGGTTTGCTCTTGCCATCTCCTGAGGCTGAGACAGTGTGACTTGCTCAAACTGCTATAACTGAGTAGGAGAGTCACAGCCCAACACTCAAACCACTACACCATGCTGGCGCTTCACCAAACTATAAATCCCTGGATAGAGTCATAGAAGGTGCCTCGGACGTGATATTCAGCCATTGTTCTTGATGTTGTGTGCTTTCCAGTGACCCTAAGGCAAACTTATCATGTGGTTTTCTTGGTAAGTTTCTTCAGAGGGGTTTGCCCTTGCCATCCTCTGAGGCTGAGAGCATGAGATGCACCCAGTATACCCAGCGGTTTCCATGGCCAAGCAGGGATTCGAACCCTGCGCTCCAGAGTCAAAGTCCAAGGCTCAAACCACTACGCCACATTGGCCCCCATTCAGTCAGTGATCCAGTGCCCCTAGGCATGGAGGATCCATCCCCAGGGACCCAAAAGTGGCACCTTTCTCGTGTGTGAAATGTGGAAAGGGGTGTCCCAATTGTCTGCCGACTTGACAGGCCCATCCTGGCCCTTTTGGCACATCTCAGCCATCCATCACCCCCAGGTTGTCTGTCTCTCTCACAGACACACGCTGAGTATCTCTGGATTGATAGGGATTAAAATTGAATCAGTCTGTGAAGGGATCTAGGAGCACCTTTGAGACTCACTGAAAGAAAGAAACTGGGAGCATAGTCTATGCAAGCTCATGCTCCCAGCTTCTTTCTTTCAGTGAGTCT